TTTGTTGTTCAGGCAGAATAAGTATTTAAGTTTATTACAGACTTCAATCGTAATCTTGTCTGAATCTCAGGGTGAAGAAGTCTTTGGCTGCTAAATTACTGTCTTGGCTGCTAAATTACTGTCTCCGGCAGTTATTTAACTGTCGGAAACAGTAATTTAACTGTTAATTGACTTTTTTTTTCTTCAAAAATATTTTAATTAATATTACTGTATTCGTTGCTAAATTACTGTCTCCAGCAGTTATTCAACTGTCGGAGATAGTAATTTAACTGTTAATTGACTTTTTTATTCTTAAAAAAATATTTTTAATTAATATTATTGTATTCGTTGCTAAATTACTGTCTCCAGCAGTTATTTAACTGTCGGAGACAGTAATTTAACTGTTAATTGACTCTATTTTTTTTTCTTAAAAAATATTATTTTAATTAATATTACTGCCTTGGCTGCTAAATTACTGTCTCCAACAATAATTTAACTGTCTTAGACAATAATATTAACAATATTACTGTTCGGGAAAATAATATTCATAATATTACTGTCCCAAACAGTAATATTACTGTCTGAGACAGTAATTTAGTAGCAAAGACAGTAATATTAATTAAAATATTTTTTTTCTAAGAAAAAAAATTAAAAAAAAAAAGAAAAAAGTCAACGCCGGAAACCGGCGGTCAACGGTGGTTGACCGGCCGGAAAAAAATTTCTGGAAAAAAAAAGTTAAAAAAAAAAAAAAAAAGTCAACGCCGGAATCTGACCGGAAAAAAAAAACTTTTCAGAAAAATAATTATTTTCTGAAAAAAAAATTTGGGGGTTAATGTGATATATTTGTTTAAATCCGGGGTCAATGTCTAATATTAAGGAAGTTAGAGCATAATGAGTTGAATTGATAAGAATTATATTATGGAGGGTATTTTAGACTAAAGACATGGGGATGAGTTTAATTGAGAGACTGTTTTTTTTGTGGACCAAAATGCATTTAAGTCCCATGTGATGGGCCTTTTTGCCATTCGCGCTTGAAAGAAAATAATAATAAATACAAAACTGCAAGGAAAAAATCAAAAAAGGAAAAAGAAAAGAAAAATTAGTGGACGAATAGTGAATTGTATGAATATAGGGAATTAGTTGGAGTGGAATTATACCACTGCCCAAAAGAATAAGAAAATATTCATGCACATATTTTAAAGGGGTTTTTGTGCATAACTCCCTAACCAAACATTTTTATTGTTCTAGGTTTATGAGCTATATCTTTTTCACCTATAAGCTCATTCCTTTAATATTTATTACAAATAAAGGAAAAATTCATGTATATGACAAAATTACCCCCAACCATTTACACACATTCTTAATTGTAACCCCAGTTTAATCAATTTTGCCGCCTGAATTTCTGTCGTTGACTTTTCGGACTTTTTTTTCTGGTCTATTTTTTCCGCCGCCGGATTTTTCTGGCATTGACCCGCCGGTCTCGCGGCGTTGACTTTTTTTAGTGTTTTTAAGTTTTTTTTTTTTTTTTTTTACGTCCGCCGCTAAACGTTGTCCGTAATTGTGTTGTCATTAACGGTAATTATATTGTCACTGCCAGTAAATTAATGTAATATACTGTCACAGTGTCAC